AATCACCATGGTCAGTAGTTTTTACAATACAAAAAGTCAAGTAATATCTAATAAAACCAATAATAAAATTTCGTAATTTACTTGTAATTTAAATTAATAAAGTTTGTTAATCATAATAAAAGAGTTATCCTCCATTCAAGCTTTTATACAATTTAGCATTCTATAAATTATATAAAAGCTAAATTGCTATATGTGTGTGTGTGTTTATATATTTATATATATATATATATATATATATATATATATATATATATATATATATATATATATATATATATATATATATATATATATATATATATATATATATATATATATATATATAAAATATATATTTATATATAATATATGTATATTTATATATAATATATATATATTTATATATAATATACATATTTATATATAATATATATATTTATACATAATATTTATATAAAATAGCATCGATAATTTTTTTTTTATAATATGGTTATAAACAAGTTTTATTCATTTCAGAAGTATTATGAGATACCTAAAAGGTGATTGGGATCCCAATAATATGATCCAAGCAGATGAAAATGTTTTGACAAAAACTTTATCTGGAAGAAAAGCTGTTGAGATATTTGGAGTCAAACGTTCAACTCTTAAGAGGCGAATAAAAGAAGCTCGACTATCTCCAAATGGATTAAATAAATTGCAATGTGTTCTTTATAGAAACAGGTCTATGAAAATTTTTTCAGTAACAGAAGAACAAGAGCTGGTTCAATATTGTTTAGTTTCTGCAAAAATGGGAAATGGGTTAGGTCCTATTAAACTAAGAGCACTAACATTTGAATATGCTCTCAAACTTGACAAGAAATATCCACATTTTCGTTGAGGTTCTGCTAAACCTTGGGAAACAAATAAATATGCAGGTGTAGATTGGTTTAGAGCTTTTTTAAGTCTTCTTTCAGAACTTGTTATAAGAAAACCAGAGGTAACATCAATTAGTCGAATGTCAGCATTTAACAAGTATGATGTAGATCTATTTTATAATAATCTGCATAGTCTTTTGATTAAATACAAGTTTTCACCGAATGATATATGAAACGTTGATGAGACTGGTGTTACTACTGTACATGTGCCAGAACATATTTTAGCCAAGAAAGGCAAGTTGCTTCTGTTACAATTGCAGAACGAGGTATCTTGGTAACAATGTGCAATGCAGTAAATGCAAGCAGATCATCAATAACACCATTCTACATATTTCTACGTGTCCATTTAAAAAAAAATTTTCTTCGAAATTCAATTCCTGGTTCTGTTGGCACTGCCAACAAATCTGGTTGGATGGTGGAATCAACTTTTATGGAGTGTTTTTTTTTCATTTTCTAAAAAGTGTTCGACCATCTAAGGCATATCCTGTGCTGCTGATACTAGATAATCATGAGTCTCATATGTCAATTAACTTCATTGACTTAGCATCAGATAATGGTGTTATTGTTTTAACAATCCCACCCCATACATCACACAAACTGCAACTACTAGTTATAACAGTGTATGGACTTTCAAACGTCATTATAATCGTGAAATTGATAGCTGGTTGGTATCGCATCCAGAAAAAACTGTTTCAATCTATGATTTTGCAGAAATTTCTGAAAAGGCTTGGGCAAAAGTATCAATGCCAGTTAACATCATTAGTGTTTTTCAGTATCTGGAATAAGTCCATTTCAACCTGATCAATGGAAGGATGAGGATTTTTTTTTATCTCAGGTTACAAACAAACTCAATTTTGAAACACTCAACATCAATCCAGTTTCAGTAGAAATTAATAGACCTAATCCTGAAGCACTCAACATCAATCCAGTTTCAGTAGAAATAAATAAAAATGTTAAAGTCAACAAAAATGTTAGCAATACCTTGAATGTGGAAAGTATACGCCCTTATCCTTCTGCAAAAGCCTGTTTAAGAAAATCCAAAGGTGTTCGCAAAAAGCTCTCCTTTTCGATTCTAACTGATACACCAATTAAAGAGACTTTTCGAAATCAAGAACTTCAGCAAAATTTAAAAAAACAAAACTTTTCTGAAAAACAAAAAGATGCTAAAAATAAACGTCAAGAGAAACCAAGAAAAAAAATCAAGTAACTCAAAAACTCTAACGTTTCCATTAATGACATATAATAATGATGAGGCTGATGATATTCTTGTTGAAAGAAATGATAATGGTGTCAAATATAGTTTAAATTTTTGTGGAGGTATTACATCAAATTACGATTTGTGTGCTATATGTGAAGAAATGGGTCGTGACAATGAGGTGTGGTACCATTGCTGACAGTGTGCGAGCTGGGCACATAAAGCTTGCACAAGTGCAGATAATGTCAGCCAATATGTTTGTGATTATTGTAATTTGACTATCTAATCGAGACTCCGGTCTAAAGTTGTATTAATTAATTCAGAAATATTAATAATGTCTTAACATACTCTTTTCTTGTTTTTAAACTCCATTTATCACCCTAATTGCTTTGCATAATGTAATTTACTATGCGCAGTGGTTTATAACTTTCAATATAATATACAATATATAGGATAGTTAGTTAAGATATTAATCTTATCTTCTGAATTAATAAATCGGCTGTAGTTATTAACGATAGATATATTGATCTTTTTTATAAAAAAATAATTATTTTGTGCTCCATTCACTACAAGGGTTGGTCCATTCAGTACAATTAACAGTACTGAATGGACCACTAAATAATTTAGTGCACATTTTACCTATGTTCTGTTAGCGCATTGGTTTACAACTTTTAAGGATTGTTAGTTAAGGTATTAATCTTGACTTCTGAATTAATATCCGCCATAGTTGTTGACAATATGGGGAAAAGTTGTTTTTATAAAAAAGTTGAATTTTGTGGTTCATTCAGTACCACTCTCCCCTGTATCAACACATACCAATAACTCAACATTGGAAATAATATAAAAGGTTTGTAATTTTGTAGTTATTTCAATTGCAATTATTAGGTATAAAATATGGATTTTTCTTTGAAATGTTTACACTGCAAAACAATGTTTTGCGATGTAAATACTCTATTATGCTGTACGTTTCAAACATGTAGCAATTAAAATGCAACAAATCAGGCCATTTACTTACAGTAAGCCAGGAAATATCAGGCATACTAACTGTTTTGGAGTCAATAGCTGATAATAAAATTTTTAAAATTTTATAGCCTAAATCATATTTCTTTACCTAAATGGTTTCACAGTGGTGAAAATCACAAATTAAAAAACTATAATATATTAGAAAATTCATTAGCAAAATTTTGATATTAAGTTATTATCTGCTTCTTGTGGGTAAGATGTATTTGCAAAAAAGCAGCCCAATATCAAAGCGTTAAACAATTTGGTGAAGAGTGAGAAAATAAACTTTAAAAAGAAGTTGTTTTTGTTTTTATGATTGTAGGGATTCGAAAATTATATTTTAATGGTTAGAGTTTCATAAAGCATATACTGGAGACAGAAAATTATTAATTTATCATCCAGTTTAGAACAGGAGTGTTTAAAACATACTTATTATTTGATATACTCTGTTTTATAAAAAATGTAAAAAACAACTAGTTAAACGCAAAAAAATGTTTTTTTTATGTTATGTTATATTGCAGGAATTATATTTTTTAAAGTTTATTAAAAGATCAATTATTAAACAGGCAAAAAAAAGTAAGAAAAATCATGATCACGTTACATATCTTGGAAACAACAAACAAGTTCTCAACATTGATAATATTTGACATAACAACTGCAGCTGTTTTTTAGAGTTATTTTCCTCAAAGAAATGATGCAGCAAATTTAAAATAATTTTTTTATAATTTATTTATCATACTTAATTCAAAACATACTTAATTCAAAGCGGAAACTCAAATAATCTAATCAAACTCAGCAAGGCTTTGAAAGATGATAACAAACCCACACTTTATAGAGAAACTTACGAGTGAGCGAACACCGAGCCATAGGTTCAGTTAGAACACAAACATACAGATAGCAACATACGGGTGAGCACCAGAGGTTTAGACATACACATATAAAGTAGATTGCAGGTGAAATAAAACAGTATCTAAGGCACCTCAAACTATATAAGAGATGCATACACACAAAAATAATAATATATATGCATATATTATTATAGGCATGACCAATTTTAAATGATACTAATGACAGGAAGCAAACTCCTTCGAGCTTTTACTTAAAAAGCGAATCCCAAAAGGCAGCAGGAAATGGAACAAAATGAACTAGGTTACATATTACCAGCAACAGGATGATCACGAAGACCATACACCTGACCTAAAGTAATGTAGTAGTGCAGTTAAGCGTATTAACGCAGTTTAGCGCAGTCGTGGTGAAGTGGTTAGAGTTCTGGCCTCAAAACTGGAGATCCGTTTAAAGGAAATTTATAATCACTGATAGATGATAGATTAAAAATTAAAGAATATTTTAGTGTTCGAAAGTTATCAATTTTGTATCCCTGCTCTTTTTATAAATAAGTTTGTTTAATATTTTACCAAAGTATTATTAATGAACATTTTCAATAGCAAAAAAAAAATTGTGTAACTTTCCATTTCATTTGTTGCTATTGGAAATGTTCATTAATAATAATTTGGTAAAATATTTGAGACAAACTTATTTATAAAAATTTGTTAAAATAAAGAAACCTGTCAAAGTATAATAGACTATAGATTATTATTGATTAAAAATATTGCTATAATATTTAAATGTTCTATTATAATAGAACATTTAAATATTATTGCAATATTTTTTGGAACAAACAGTTTTTATTAGAACATTGTCACTCCAATTATAAAAATATATAGTACAGTAGGATTTTTACCAAACTAAAAAATAACATTCAAGTAAACATGTATAAAAATCCATATTACTGTATGGTTTTTACTAAACTAAAATTAATATACATAAACAGCATTTTCTAATAATGTTTTTATTTTTTCTTTATCCGCCTTTGTTTTTAAATTGCATTTATCTTATTGTTTACTTTCCAGCAACACCTGAGCAAGTTAGTGAAAACGGAGTTACTCCTGTTAATGAATATATTTTTACTTGCCTTTCTCTACTACTTTATGTTTGTCTTTTTGTAATCAACTGCGTAGATGGTAAAAAGAAAACTAATTGTGGAATGAAATATGGAAAATTTACGATTTTTACTTGCATTTGTAAGTATTTTTATAAATTACTTTAAATTTTAGTTTTATTGTGTATATTTTTACCTCTAAAACGATATCTCATAGCAAGTGCGTTAAATGAATATAACGTTTTATTTGTGTCTTGTGATCTCCAAAGAAAGGTCTTGTAGCAAAAATAAAGTCCGTAATTTTGTGGTGTTTAAAAGATGTAACTTTAGGCATGGTTCACACTCTAAATTTTTTGATATTCATACTGGTTCCCAATGAGGATGTTTTACATTTCTTTTTTGACGTTAATTTTAATTAGAGCTTGTGAACAACAAAAATCCTGGCACAGAATTAGTGTGAAATTGATTCTGAATATCTGGATCTTCTTTTTGATCTGATCGTAATTATCTTGGTTAGAGTTTAATTTTAACAATGGGATCCTTTCTAGTAAATAAAGAGACTTAGAATAAGGTCGACATTACCCAGACAGTAGAGGATAAGGTCGACATTACCCAGACAATAGAGAATAAGGTTGACATTACCCAGACAATAGAGAATAAATCGACATTACCCAGACAGTAGACATTTACTCGGCATTTTAATACTCGTCAGTAGAGTATTAAAACGTTGATAAACAACAAAAAAGATTTAAAGTTACTTGAATTTTTTGTTACTTGAATTTTTTTTTGGTAAATTTTTATTTAAGATTTTTATAGTCATTATTTCTTTCATCGTTAATGTTATCTTAGTTCTACATAATTAAATATTTTGTTTTAATTATTATTTACATTAAAAATAAATACTCTGTTCTAAAATACTTTTCCAATTTGCATTCAACGTAAAGAATCATTGAAAATAAATTATTATTATTATTAATTTATTTATTACTATAAAATAAATTTTATACATACCTTATTTATTTTCATTACAAAACATAATAGATATTTTTTAGAAAAAATTAAAAAAAATTAACCAAATAATTAGTTTTATATAATTCTTTATATTATTATATATTATTGAATGTAAACTGGAGCAGTATTTCAGAACGGAAGGAATACAAAATTTAATTATTGATCTTATTTAAATATTTATCTTATTATAATTATAGATTATATTTTCTCAAATATTACTGTGCGTGTTTATAAAACATATGTAACTATGAATATAGCTATGAATATATAATATATGTTTCAGCTTAAACAGGATATTGACTCGAAAGGTTAGAAATAAATACTAATATAAAGTAAACTTATTAAAATAAGCTATAAATAAATCTTTATTTACAGTTTATTTTAATTTATTTGAGCTTATTTCAGAAATGTTCTTTAAGTTACGTTTTTTACAACTTTAAAAGATATTCAATATAAACATTTATTTAATTTTTAAAAAAATAATTTAGTTAATAATATCTAACTACTAAATAAAATACTAATAATAAATAATATCGAATGCCTTAAAAAATATTTAAAGTGTTTATTTTTAAATAGATTTAAATATTTAATTTATTAAATAATTTAACTAAATAGAAATTTAATTAAATAGTATTTACGGCGCTATTCTGCAACATAACCCTAATTATAATCATGAATTAAGCTGACATCAAGGTTAAACGTCATTGGCATTGGCCGATATGCAAACGAATACCGGTCTATACCGTTTTTTCGGTATTAGATTTAGTGAAAACCGATAAACCGGTGTTTATAAATATTCAAAAAAATAGTAATAAAAACTCAAAGTAACAAAACAAACGGTTTCAAAACTTTATTGTTTAACTTAAACTAATATATGAAATTCATTAATTTAAAAAAAAAAATTATTATTGAAATAGGCTCGCAAAAAACATAAATTATTTAAAATTTCTTCATTTAGATGATTGACTTCTACGCTTGTTGGGGAAGTAGTTGAAATATAATCGTATACCAACTTCAAGTTGATACCACGTCTATTTGACTAAAATGATACGAAAAGAAGACGTCGTCTTCCTCAAATATAGAAATTTCTTTTCGTATCATTTTAGTCAAATCGTTAATATTTCAATTTGTTTTTGGTAGTATTTTCATTTTTACCTCATTATTTATGGCCTTGTCCAGCAGCTTCTGTAATGTCAAGCTCAAAGGTTCGTCTTTTCACATGCTATTTTCGTATGTTATTTTCGTTATTGTATGTTCTGGATGGCAATGTTGTAGTTTAAGTTTGGAAGGATGAGAGCCGCTGGATAAGGTGGACAATTAAGTTTACCAAATCAATTTTAGTTAGCCATCAAATATGATATCTAAACCAAAATTATTTTGGGTTTGATAACCTTTATAAAGAAATTGTATGAGATAAGATAAATTTGCATGAGATAAGATAAATTTTTGCACCTTCCTTTTATTCTTTTATATAAAGAGGCCTTTGTATTGTTATTTAATGATCCTTCGCCCAAAATTTGCAGTAAAATGCCAAGGTAGTTGATAGAAGATTAGCATCTCTCCAACAGAAAAGCCTCCACAGCAAATTTCAATGGTAGCAACATAAAAACTGTTGATAATATCAATTCTAATTCAGATTCCATAAAGTTAATAGCTAAATTTATATCAACCAAGGCTTTTTGAATGGAATTTTTAATTTATAAAAACGCTTTAGCATAAAAAGTAAGCATCTGGTTTTATTCTCTAATATTACTGATAGTTCTTTACTATGTTCAGTTTTTACATAAACTTGAATGATTTTTTTTTGTCGGTGATCGTCTCAACAGCTTTACAACTTTTCTAACTTTGCTTATCAATAGAGTCAAGTTATTTGCAAGTTCATTTGAATTTGGTGAACTCTGAAAAATCCTTGATTCGCCTAAATGGTCTTCATTACATTCATCTGAAATCTCAACAGCACTATCTTCATCAGATTTAAATAAAAAAAAAACCTTACTAATATAAAGCATCCTCCTAAAAATTTTGGTGCTCCAGAATCTACAGGACATGGGGTTGTACCCCCATAATCCGAGACTGGTTTAATCTTTCCCTTCTTAGCTTTTAAATAATGTAAAAAGAACTAACATAACTGTTAGTTATGACAATTATACCTATTAAACCTCATATCCTTTTCTTAGTTTCTCATGAGTATATGCATAAGCCCTCATAACCTTTTCTTAGTTTCCCATAAGTATGTTTTATTTTTTTATTTTATAATTTTCTCTTAAACATCCAGTAATAAAATCACAGGTAAAGTAATTTACATTAAAAAATTAACTTTTAAAATTAACCTTAATTTAATTTGTAACTTAATTAACAGTTACAAATTAAATTAAGGCCAGTCTTGGCTCTTCAAGTATTTGTCTTTAATGCCAATAACTAGACCGACTAGACGGTTAGATCTATTTTAGGAATATTCTCCTCCATCATTGTTTAAAATTTTTCTCTTTGTTCTTTTAAGTTCCATAATTGGAACGCTTCTTTTAATATTGATATATTATCAGCTTGTAGTTCTTCTTGAGGTAGTGTGAATTTAATTTTTTTACCTTCTATCATGCATTGAAAGATGTTTAAGCAACGAGTTTTACATATAGCAATCACTTCGTTTATAAATGATTTTTTATTTTGTGTTGCCACTAATTGACTAATTACCAGCGAATAGTAAGTTTGATTTTTCATTAGCCTAATTAATAGGTTTACTCTATTTCGAAGAAGAGTAGTTAAATATCTTCTATTTTAAAAAAAGAATATAGGTAATTTTTGCTATACTTTGAAATACAAAAAAATGATTTTAAAACTGCTATTCCAACAGCGTCTATGTTTCTTAGAAAACTAATGTCATAGTTGCATAGCTCAAGGCCATATATAAGCTTTGGCACTGTCAAGGTATTGTATAAATGGACTATTGTTGACGGCTGACAAAAACGAATTCCACTTTCAATTAGAGCTATTGCAACCGATTGAAACAGCGTTATACGTTCATTTAGATTTGTTTTTTGAAGTGTTGCGATTTTTTTTTTGTTACTACCGTTATCCCATTGGAAGTCCAGACATTTAAATTTATTTTGGAGATATATATAAGTTCCGTTAATTTGAATAATGTTGTTGGAAATTGAACTTTTACCAGAGATCAGAAATTCAGTTTTCTCAATGTTTAGCTTGATAAAGTTTAATATTCCATATGTTTGAAATCTGTCAATCAGTTCTTGCAGACTAGAGATTGTTGAACTTAGCAAAATTACATCATCTGCGTATGCAATGACACCAGTATAGATGCCAATTATCTTCGACCCTACTTTACATTCTGAGACTGTTTCATTTAAGATGTTTTCAGTATAGATGCTATATAAATATGGCGATAAAATAGACCCTTGCCGCACCCCTTGTGACAAACTGAATTGATCTGAGGTAACTCCCTGATAGGATATATTTGAAGTACCAGAACGATATAGCGATGTGATTGCGTGTACAACAGATAAAGGTAGTTTTTTTTTTTGGAAATAGAGCTTCTCAAATAGCAAATCCCAGTTGCAAGTATCAAACGCTTTATTTGCACCTAGACTACACATATATAAAGGCGTGTTATTGTTATTATAGTGTTTAATGGTTTCGCTCAATAAAAATTCTGCGTGGAGCGTAAAGCTATTTTTTTTAAAACCAAACTGATGGGAATGGCTATCTTTAATACTAGGACATAAAAGTAAAATTAGATATTCTAAAAGTTTGGCAAGGATAGGTAAGATACTAATTCCTCGGTAATTATCTGGGTTATTAAGAGATATGCATAAGTCCTCATAACCTTTCTTAGTTTCTCACGAGTATATGCACCTTCTGCTCACTGCCATGTTTCATTTTTCATCACATAAAAAATTTTACATGTAAAACTTTTTATGTAATTTTTTTACATGTAAAAGTAAATAACTTTTTGATGTAATCTTCTTTTACATAACTTACTTTTGAAAGTAAAAAAAATTACATTATAAAGTAAAAGTTGTTTCAAAAAAAAAATAATTACTTACACGAAAATGTAAGTTTACATTAAACGTTTAAAATTACTTATATAATTTACTTTTTGATAAAAATTAATTTACTCGTGTAAGTAAAAAAAAAAGTAAGTAAAAGAGCCATCCCTAGTATCCACCGCACAGATAAAACAATTAACTGTGGATTACACACTTAATATCTGCAGTAACCTGAATAAAGTCTTGAAATATGCTTATTGAATTATTCGATCGGGCTAGTAAGGGGTTGTCCATGTAGTACGTACGCTTATAGGGAAAGGGGGTCTTCAAATAGCGTATAAAAGGGTATGGGGAAGTAGGAGAGTTCAATATAAAGTACGCACTGATTTGAAAAAAAATCTCTCAGTAATGTTTGTTTTTGTAATTTGTCACAATTAACAAGTACTTGTTAATAACTTTTTTGAATAAATAACGACTTTAAAAAATAACACTTTTTTGGCGGTTTCTGGTGAATTAATATTTTTGGCGGTTTCTGGTGAATTGATATAGATTTAATGGACAATTGATAACGTTTTATATAGAGCCACCTCGCTCTGGAATTCCCTTAACAATTAAAATCATGTGCTCAAAAAGACTCAAGGTGTTCAAAAATTATATTTTACATTGGAATGGTGGGAAATGTTTTTGTAAAGTTTTTAGAACTTAAATTTATTTACTATTTCTACGAATCATGTCATTTCTTCGAGTTTATAAATTTATTTGTTCCTTTTATGGTATTTATGAAAATATTTTCAAGATATTTATGCATAATATTTTATTTAATTACGTTGGTATGCTAGTTGTTACCAATTTTTTATGGCATTTTTTGCGATACTTGTGTTAGTTTGTATTTTTTATGCAGTTTATTGTGTTGATTTTAATGAGTTTTTTTTTTAAACTAATGCAAGAAATCAATTATAAATAAGGTTTTTAATCAACAAATATTGGTTGCATTTCCCAAAACTAATGAACTAGATATTGTTGAAGAATCAACAATATTCAAAAATAAATTTTCAATATTGTTGTTTTTGACAGTTTGAAATATAGCGTCGCACAATGGGCCAGAATTCACTTTTACTGAACAAAATTAATTTAATATTAGAGCTATATATTCACTTAAATAAGCATGAGTACTAATATGATGTCTGCGCTTTTTATGAAGGTAATATTTTTTATTTCGTTGCTATGGATACCTTTATTTTGATTAGCAACAACCAATTTTTGTTATCTG